CAATTTTCAACTAGCGATTTTGTTGGCTCAAACAATAATTGTTTGACAACGTGTTTGTTTTTATCTCAGTGTGATTTGTACCTTCGCGCCACCAAATATTTCCTGAAATACCCAAATAAGGCGCAATGGTCAATCACACCAGGGGAGCGATTTTGCCCGTTTTATGTCGACATAAAATCGTAAATTTCAACCAATGACAGTCCTGGATTCCGAATACTCAACTAGGATTGGTTGAAATTTATGATTTTATGTCGACACAAAACGGGCAAAATCGCTCCCCAGGTGTCATACCGGTGATGACCCACGAAAGCTCTCTCTTTCGCTACTCGAACATTAACATTTATATAGAATTCGTTTGAGTAGTCTGAGCCTTTGATTTGTCTTGATTTTGATATATTTGAATTGTTATTAACCGTAGGTTAGTCATCAAACGCGACCCTGCGATTCTGGTCACCTCCGCGGGGATTCCCCGCCGTGTTATTTAGGCTCCAGCGTTGCCGAATTCACTCTACACTGCCCGGGCGCGTTTAGCGAGTTTCCGGCAACGTCGCGTGATGGGCAATTCCATTTAATATGGGAAAAAATAATTTGTCTGTCCGAAATAATTTGATTTCTGTGCAATGTCGGGAAATATGTTGCTCTCAAAAATACTATAATTCTTTAGACACTTCAATTGACAAAGTCAAATTTTTTTGAATTTTTCCGGTCAGCCAGTCAATTGTAATGAAAGGAAAACGACGCGGGGCGGGGCTTCCCTCATATGGTGACCTATTTAGGGTTAATCATGATAAATATTACGCGTGTGCACGCGTTATTTTTTATTATTTGGAATTGCCAAAGATTAATTGATAAAGCTATTATTTTAACGTCTGGTATGGATGAATGAGTGACTTTCTATTTTGATAAGCGACTTGGATTCTATTTAATTTTTATCAAATCAAGCGTAGTAAATGAAAAACAATCTTGAAATTTTCACCAGTAAATTTGAACGATAGGTGGTCAACAAAATTACTTAATAAACCAAAGATTTATATAACGTTAAATCATCTAATTTCGCAATTTATTCCTCTGTCCTTCGAATAGAATATCTCATTCTCTTACAGGCCGTATTTACAAATCATAATTACCGTTAAATTTTGAAGCGCTCATTTAGTTAACATTACTCTTAAATTTTTAATTATTTTAGTAATCATCAATTGATGGCCATCTCTACTTAAAAATCACTACAAAAAATATTGTCTCGGACTGTTGCGATGGGGTTTTTCACACGATTAAAAAACTTCCCAATAAAATATTCTCACAGGAAAATCACAAGAAATAAGTAAATGAATGCGCAGATAAATGAAGAAAACGACAAGAAGTAAAACCCAATTCAAACGAATTCTTTGCTTATTACTGAGCTCGAAGAAATCCCCTCGATAAATTAAACCTACCAAGAAAAGTTTCCTCTTCTATTTTTACGAATTGTTTTCATGAGAAAATTTTTTGTTACGTTGAAGAAAAAATTGTGCCATCAAGCCAACTGAAAGACTGCTCCCAATTCTCCAGTGATAATGGAAAAACAGCTGCACGTGTTGATGCTGAGAGCGTGGGGTCGCAGTACTCTAGACCCCATAAATTTCCTTCCCCTCATCACCAAAAATTCCCAATGACGCAACATTTATTTTAAAATCGGTATCAACAACTTTCTAGTACGGAAATATTTATTACATAAATTCAAACCCACTTTTATTATATTCTTCTATAATGTAAGGTTTATTTACACACAGTACTTGACTATAGAAATTCGAGTGACTGAAGTTTTCCAGCGGAATTGAAGGATCCGTCATTGTTCATTCAATGGCGAAGAATTCTGTAAATTTTGCACATTTTTCTAAACATGAAATTATCTCGACAGGAAAGGGGTGTAGAAGAGAATGACAAGCGAAAATTTTTGGTGAAAATTGAATTCTTCAAAAAAAGGGTGTTTTGAGATGACTGTTTGATAGAAAACAAGGGGAGATCGGAGAAAAATTAATCACCAGGATAAACGACTATTTAGCACAATTTGGAAAAATGTTTTTTGTTTTTGGTTGCAGGTCAAACGACCCATGAAGACGTGTTGGGTCAAGGTTCAAATGACCCTTTCTGATCACTCTTATCTATCCTCAATTAAAAACAGAGGAGAGAATATTTTCTGACTTTCATTTCAGTAGTGAAGTGGTAAAACGGTACAAGTCAATTTTGACTATTGAACAGTTTTCAATGAATATCTCGGAACCTAAGAGAGATAGTAAAATTGTTGTTATAACCTTTTTTGTAGAGGTGATTGAGTGCTACAACAAATGTAATTACGAAAATTTCGCTATCTCCCTTAGATTCGGAAATATTCCTCAAAAACTTAACCGGGAGATGAGCCGACTCAAACCGTTTTACCACTTCGCTACTGATTTGTTTCCAGTTGAAGGTCAAATAATTTTGAGGGTCAAAAGACCCTTACGGACGTCTGGAGTCGAGGGTTAAATTGTCTTAAGGGACAGACGACCCATGAAAACGTGTAGGATTAAGAATCAGATGAGCCTTTCTGATGTCTCTGCATTAATCCGTTCGACCCTTAAGGGGAGACGGAACCCCTTTGTCTACATCAAATCTTAGAATTGTGTTTTCTTCTACAATTATTAATTTCTATCTATGAAATTACTTTATCAACTCGATTATCGCATTGTTGAGTCAATAAAGTAGTTTAATGAATAAAAAGTAATAATTGCAGGAGAAAACACAATTCTAAAGATTCATATAAACGCAGGGGTTCCGTTTCCCCTTAAGACCATTTGACCCTTAACCTTACACGTCTTCAAGAGTCCTTTGACTCTCCCAAGCCCATTTATCCTCAGCTAAAAACAAACATCGAGTTTTCTGACTTTTAGTTTTCAGGTGAGATAATTTAATTACTAAACTCCACTAGTGATCGAAATTTGTGGAAAACGTTTTGCTCTTGACATTAACGATTTTCTCAAGTTTTTAGGCTTCATTAATTACCCAATTATTTTGGTAATGACTGTTCTTACCATAAAAAGTCAAGATACTATTTATTAGGGATGTCATTTTCTCCTTCTGAGAAAAAAATGCTTCTCAACATTCTCCCCTAAAACCCCTACATTGCCGATATAAATTCACAATTTTCAAAAATATCAAATTTTACTCATCACGTGCGTCTCAATGAATGCATTCCAATCCCTCTCCACTTTCATTATTTGTTGTCATGTTCCACATATAGATATCATATATTTTTAGAAATATAAACCACCAGTCTCACCAAAGAACTCTCAACCTATTTTTCCCCTCCAAAATAATTCTATTTTTTTCTGTCATGTAAACAATAATTCAATCATAAATCCAGCAACATTCGATTGATGCGTCGGAATCAGAACAAAACATCGATTTTTTATTAAACGGAATGAATTTAAGTATTTCAACAAACATTTTTCTCTCATTATTTTTTTTTTCATCGTTTTTATTATTTTTCTTTCGTGTATATAAACAATTATATACACACATCCAACACATACATACTGATATATATGTGCATTATGAATCGTTCACTCTCAAACTCTTCTCAATCTGACAATTGCTTACCACAAACTATCGAAAAATGGGCGCATAAATACAATTGGAATATTAATTTTTTTTTTCGTCGTTTTTATTATTTTTTCGCTTTCTTTCTAAATTACGTCCACCAAAAATATTAAAAATCAAAATCTTTTCACTCGAAGATATTTTACAATTCTCATTTTTATCGGTTTTCACTATTATTTTTTCTTTCTCGTTTCAAGTTATTGTTCATCAAACAATGATTTCATCTCATTCCAAAGAATTTTAGTTATTTTTCTCTCTGTAATGAATAATTAATTTTCACCATCAATTTGTTTCTACAAACGTTCAATGAATATATATTTTCATTTTCTCATTGTTTTAAACACATTAACTACGAAAATAACATTTTGTGGCATGAAACATTGCAGGAAGAAAATGAAAACACGAGAAATTGTTCATGGAGTCTTGTGAGCACTTTTGCATCATTTGCAATGGGGAAAATCAAAATAAGGTGAATTCAGAATGATTTTCAAACGTTGTGAGAAAAAAATTATACTACAAGTGATGCAGGTCAAACAAAAATGGGAGAAAATAGGAGAACAGACACTATTGGCTACGGAATTCAAGGGTGAAGTAGTGAATTTCGAAAACTAAATTTTTAATCTCAGAGACTATTCATGTATCGAAAAATGTCAAAATATCATTAATTTTATGGATAATCCCAATAGTTTCGAAAAGATTGCCAAATAATAGCAGATGACATTCACCATAATCTCAAAATTAGAATTAATTCCCACCTTAATTCGCAAATATCTCGGAAATTAATGGGTTTTGAAGAAAATACCAAACAACTTTTTTTCAGGAAATTTAATTCTCTACGAAAAATTTTTTTTGCCATTTTCCTCTAGACCCCTTTGTCCCCGAGATATTTCCAAAAAAACATTTTGTCAATTCCGTCATTTGTGTTCACAACTTCACTCCTTCCTTCCCCTGACCCTAGCACACTTCCAATCAATCCAGATCATCTCCCCCCTCACGATTGTCTCACAAACTCCCACCCACTCCACCAAACCCAGTAATAGATCTTAATCACCCCTCAATTAAAAAAGAAAGGAACAATAAAAAAAAACATTGAATTAATCAACGAGAGGCATTCACTCTCGACTTTCATGGAGGAAAGATGCTACCAAAATTGGGAAATCCACGATCATAATACGTTTGTCACAAGATCCTTCCCACTCGAGGAAAAAATTCAATCGAAATTCCATCGAAAGCTCTATTTATTTTTTGCTGATTATTTTTGGTAATCGGATCTGGTCTTCCCTGAGCCAATTAGAGTTCAGTATTCAATAACATGAAGTACATTTCCCTCATGTTTTCCTGCGTATCAACGATCGGGATAAGTTTTGCACAAAAATTTTAATCTGCAAAACTTCTCCCTCTCGTTGCAACGCAACAAAACAATCGGGAAATATCCGATAATTTTGCAGGTCTCGTGGTATTATTACTGCTTATATTCCGAAATTTCACAGCTTTTCATCAGATTTTCCAAAAAGAATGTTCACTATTTCATAGAAAAAATTAGAAGATTGTCATCTGTCTATACACCTCACTGCATTGAAATGATTTCCATAGAGATATCTCACCCGAGTAAATTGTATAGAAAAATAAAAATCTAATTTGTTTCTATGGAACAAAACGTGTGAAAAAAGCTGCGGAATTATTCACTGAAATTTTCTAAAAGAATTCGAATACAAATGAAGTAATGAAGTGAATTCCTCTAGAATTTTTTCGTACGTGTCGTGAGATGTTCACATTTTAGTGTAATCCCTCCTCCAATACAATCCAATCCAGATAATCGAGAAAACAATAATCATCAACGATTTCACTCCACCCCTCGATCAATCAATAAACCCCCAGTACCCCCCTTACAGTATGAAATAAACACGGTTAGCTCATAGAAACTTGTCCATTAGCGAGTAGTCTCTCAACCGCAGCATTTATATCTCCAAACGTAGCAATGAGCGCTTGTAGATTAGCATCACGATTGAGAAAACCCATGGCAGTCAGCTGTTCCAACTGTGCCCTGTAGCGTTCCTCAGGTGGTACAGCACCATTACCCTCACCACCCTGATTGAGTGCCATTGATGATACCATTCTAGCCATAAATTGTGAGAAAAAATCATTTGATTCTCTAACTGGATCCGCTGGATTTGATGGATTTGTTGCTGCCCCTGTGGCACCTGTTTCAGTTCCTGTTGATGGAGTAGTTGGCGTTGCTGTTGCACCACCTGTGGGTATTGTGGGGGCTGTTTGATTGCCTAGGCCCATGGTGCCCACGAAATCAGGGGCTACAGTGCGTAATTGCTCCATTCCCTAGTGAATCAGACATAATATCCAAAATACAGTGGATTAATATCGATGATGTATGGAATAGCCATTTTGATGATTGCTAAATCTCAAATATTTTGTGTTGAAAGTTTGAAATGTGGTGAAGATGAAAAATATTTGTTGTAAAAATAGATTTGGCTGTTTCCCATTTAAATGGAAATGGGTTGGGGCCATTTGATCCCAACTCTGCCATTATAATGTTCAAGAAACCGGAAAGTTGAGCAAAATGCAGTTTTCTGTTGCTAAATTAAATACAGCCGCATTGAGAATATGACGATGTAATCAATCTAAGTTGATTGACAAAGGCCCCTACTGGGAAATTTGAAAAAAAAATTAAAAAATTTGATATTACCAACAAAGTCTTTTACGGCATATTTTAGAGTGAATATGGAAATTAATCGTGTAATAGCTGCATTGATTCAAAAAAATACTCATTATTGTTAGATTATAATTTTTCTTGCAAATACTAGTTATTTCTATAAATTGAATTCCGATTTTGTTCATGATTTTTTTCTCAATTCTATATCATGAGATAAGGCTTCAGTCTAAATTTCAGTCCAAGATAAAGTTTTTAGAACGAGTTATGATTTTTTTTTAATTTTGCGTTTTTTTCGCTTGTCAAAAAAAAATTCTTATCGCCTTTGATTCCCACTGAACAAAGTCGGTGTCATCGATTTTTTGTCGACTCCCGGTTTCACGTGCAATCGCCCAGGAAGAAATTGAATAGTTGATGAATATCGAGACAAATCAATAATCAAGTCGAAGTAAGCCCTAAAATGTAGATTTCTGCGAATCTCCATGGAATTTGTTCTCCATCTTCTGCGATTTTAATGATTAAGAGCTGAAGTTCAAATCTGTCCTTCAAGAAACTAAGATTGATAAGTCTATGGAAATAGATTTGCCGTATTCACTGTACTCAATGATATGAATTTTGTCCTGCGGAATTCAATTCTCCTCTATCTCCATCGAGTTTGCCAATAAACACATCGGAGCGCCCCAACATCCGCGCAAGTATTAACGTCCTGCCCACTTCCCTCCCATCCATGATAACTCTTCATCTATCGCAGTTAAGAGAAAAAGTTATACGATAAAAAATGTGTATTTTTCCATAACTAACATCGTTTGTTTGGAATTTTTTTCTCTATCTGCAATCGTTTCCATGATATGATCGATTAAACAATCAAAATGTTATAAATAAATAGACCTGACCATAACTTGTAAAAATCGACGTCGGAATCGGATTCAGCACATCCGTTAAGGTAAATTCCATTGATAAAATGTAATTTTTTTCTTAGCGCATACAGAAAAAGGGTTAGCGTAGGGCGTACTATTTCTATTTCCACTCTAAAAAATAGCTTGAAACAACTTTTTGGTAGCATAAAATTGTTGTGAATTTTTTCAGATTTCTAAAATGGAGCTTTCGTTAATCTACTTCAAAAATTGATAAAAAATTAAAGAATTGATTAAAAAAATCTGAAAAAAAATCAGGGTGGATTTTTCATCGAGTAGAATCATGAAAAAAAAATGAAATGAATCTGAGATGGTCAGGGTTTAAACCGGTAGAATTGACATGGAATGCTCCATATATAATCGATCTTCAATGTATAAGAAATCTTATTGCAATAGCCTGCGACTTGTAAAGCTCATAGTCTCCCCTGCAGTAAAAATTGGATTGGTTTTGTTTATTCGTCGTCAGACGACTATTTAGCAAAACTCAAATTCTTAAATCATCAATAATATTGGTATCGATAACGTAAGAATTTGGGTTTTGCTAAATAGTCGTCTGAGGACGAAAAAACTTGTAATCCAGTTTCTACTCCGATGATAAGTTCCATTGTTTCTTAACGCGAATTTTGAGACACCCTTGTTTTAAAAAGAATGTGGATATAGTACCTGTTGAATCTGCATTATCGCTGCCAATGCGTCTGGATTTGTAACGACACTTTGGATCTGTGGGTTCTGCATCTGTTGGATGAAGGCCGGCAGCATTGATCTCATCTGCTCCTGCATCTGTGGATTGGATCTGAAGAAGGGGTTTGAAGCTAAAACACCTTCGGCTATTGCTGGATCATCAGCCATTGCTTCCAGGATTGATCTTGTGTAGGGGGCCACCAGCATATTTCGCATGAGCTGGGGATTTTCCATCATCTGGGCAGCAAGGCTCTGCATCCCTGGGGAGTCCAGGAGACCTCGACCTGGTCCACCCAGCCCTCCTAGGCCTCCCAGGCTGCCGAGTCCTCCCAGACCGCCTGGGGCAGCTCTCGGGGCAGCTCCTGAGGCTGGAGAATCTGAATTCGGATTCCAGGGGTTGGGGAGGGGATCTCGGTTCTCCTGGCCCTGTTGGGGATTTGTCGCCGGCTCTGAGGCGTTCTCGATTAATGCTGCGAAGGGGTTGCGCTCGTTTGTTACAGCCGCCAGCATTGGCTCTTGAATGTCTCGGTACATGCGACGAAGGGCACTGTGACCACCGGGAATCGATTCTAGATTGGAGAGCGCTCGGTCGTGGGAACGCATCAGCTCTTGGAGCATTGAGGGGTTGCGAGCTAGCTCCATTGTTTGTCTAGAAAAGGAAGGGTTGAAGTGAATGGAAGATCACAGGAAAAAGTCATTTAAAGCAGGGGAGAGTGGGGCAACATGAAACAGTCGTAAAACAACTGTTTGATGCAGTTCAAGCAAAAAAATGTTTATCAACTTTCAGCTAGATTTTAACTAGATTATTAAACAATTAATTATTAGGAATAAAGGGACCGACGGCGGTGGCTGTGGTTAGAGTGTGGGATTGGCATGCGGAAGACCCGGGTTCGATTCCCGGCAGGGGGGGGGGGGGGGGGGGATTTGTAACACTCTAAATCTCACGGTTTCATTGTCGAGCGGGAGTCTCGCAAGAGACGACTGTACCTGGGCAGATTTTTCCCTCAAATGAGGTTTTCCCTTATCCTTCGGCAAATCCGGTACAGGGAGTTGGGGGGCGGGAAGGGAACAAATCGTAAAGCCCCGAAAGGGTATACGAGAAGAAATTTTTTTTTTTTTATTAGGAATAAAGGGTCAAATACACTGTATAGTTATGGCTCGAGAAAGACTGAATGTCAATAGAGTAGAATTATGAAGAAACAAAAATGATTTTCCTCGTTGTGATGAGAAACAAAATCGAGTATAAATGTATAAATTAATTATTAGCAAGTGGACTGTAGTGATGACCTCGTTGTGATAAGGAAAAAAATTCGAGTTTCAAATAAGATGGAAAACTGAAACTTGGAATGTTTACGTAACATTCATCGCTTCCAGAATATTCATTAATTAAACTCTATCGAAGACTCTTGAAGCTTCTGCTATAATTTGAATTCATAATGAGGATCTTTTTTTCGTATTTGTTGTAACAATTTCAATAGAGAGAGTTCGAGTTTCTATTAAAATTTTGATGAATCAAACATTAAATTATCGCTTATTCGAAAAAAGTCGAGTTTGGTTTGTAGACGAAGAATTTGTCGCCAAAAACTAACACTTATCAACAAGGTAATTGAATAATTAATGATTAGTAAGAAAAGTTCTATTAAACAGTAATTATTACCTCAATAATTCTGGATTATTTAACATGTGACTGATTTCTGGATTACGCTGCATGAGCTCTTGCATCTGTGGATTAGCCGAGACGAGCATGCGAACATTGTCAGGATTATCCATGAGACTCTGCACCAGTGGATTATCAAAAACTTGACGCATTGTTTCTGGATTTGAGAGTAATTCACGCTGCATGCGTTGCTGGAGGTCAACGAAGTTTGCTGAACCCAGACCGAGATTTTCTAATCCAGCTAGACCACCGAGACCACCCAAACCAAATGGACTGGCACCTATATCAGCTGTGAACAGAGGGGAGAAATTGTTAATAATTGTATGCAAAAAAAACGAGTGAAAGAACAGAAAATGAATCATTCAAGAGGAATGAAAATTCACAAGTATATAAAATAGTATAAAACAGAATATTTTCAAAACAATTGGAAAAAACGAATTATACTTGTTATGTAATTCAAATTCAGTTCTTCAATTAAGTGTGTACATTTTGTATGGTATACTAATATTTATGTGAAATATTATTAATCGTGAATTAATAACCAGGTGAAATATCAAATGGATATTTGTTGATTAAATGATTCTCTATGGAACGAATGGTTGCAAGAGATTTTTTGAGTTGATTTTGAGGAGGGATCGGCAAAAAATGTTACTGAGTAATTTTAAAAGAAGTTTACCATAGATTAATCACAATTCCATACGATTTGATTCAAATTTCAAAATAATTTCCAATTCTTAATTATAATTGAACAATTAATTCTAAATATCTGAATTTGATTTTTCAATTAATTAGATAATTCTCATTCTTGCGAAGTTGATTACTGATTTATAAAATATTTGAAAAATTGAAAATGTTGATTGATAATTAATATAATAAAAATTTTATATGTAATAAAATAATTTTAATTCTATATCATTCTTAAAATATTTAAAAAATATTCTCGATTCTCATTTAACATGAGTGGTGCAATTTTTTATCTAAAAAAAAACGAAATTAGCTGTAGGATTTGCATGTCAAAAAACTAATTCATGATTGTTATTGCACACATTTTTTCAAAAATTATGAAATAAAAAAAATCTCTGTAGCTAAAAAATTGGAGGCCCTGGACTATTGTCAACATTTTAAGCGTCTGTGGGGCAAACGAGCAATAAAAAATTACTTCGTTACACTAATTATTCGTTTTTATACATATATAATCGATCTTCAATGTACGAGAAATCTCATTCCAATAGTCCACAACTTTTAACAAGTAATTTTCCAACAGTGCTGGACTGAGTAAAAGGCATCTCAATCCATCTAACCTGCAGGCCTCGACGGTGGTTGCTGAGACGCCTCCTGGTTGTTGGGCTGCTGTGATCTCAGGGCCTTGACCACCAAATGCACTGTCAACCCATCCTTAACATTGTGTGTCCCAAGTGTCTCATGATCCTTCATGATTTTCCCCGCGAAAATCAGGCACAACTGTTCGGGCTGGGCGTTGAACTTCTTCGACACCGCCTCCTTGAACTGTCCCCCAACCCCAACACCACCAATTAATCGAGATAAATTGATTAAATTCCCAAACAATTGCACGAAATGACGAAATTCATGTCAATGTTGTTCCAGTGCTTAACCAACGTGACAGCACCCGAACCCAAAAACCACAGACACCCTCCATTTTATCAGCAACATTGAGTAACAAATATCCTGGATACTTACGTCCTTGATCGAGGCATTCTCCTCAATCTCGATCGTCTGTTTCTCCTTGGGTGTTTTAATAAAAATCGTTATTTTCTTCGGACTGTCCTGTCCCTCTGCCATCTTGTACCGCCTGATGACTCGTTACTTTCGGCTCCCCCCTGCACTTCACTTCACGGATTTCTTTTTTTTCCAATCGTTTTATTGGTTGTACATATATATGTATGTATTACATACACGAAACGGCGCCTCGGCGGCGAGCTTCAAAAACCTATGTAAATGGGTTTAATTCCACGTTTTATTATTTGGCGATGGTAACCCCCGAATTGGGGCGAACCGAGGCCGCAGGAATCACGGATATTGGCGAATTGTTTGTCACTTGTTTGTCACCTCGGAGTTTTGTAGTGTTATTTTTTTTTCGGGAATTCGGGCGCGATCTACGCTGTATTTTACGTGGGGACCGTGCGTTCGGCCACGGCAGGGTCATAAATTGTGTAATTGGAGAGGCATGGGGAGTTAAGGTCGGTTTGGGAGGGATGACGGCCATTTTCATCAGTCCTCGCAAGATGACGGCACTTGGTGGTGGAGAGCTGAATTGAGCAGTAAAATATAGGGATGGGCGATCATTTTACTAAAGATGAAAGAAACGTGAAGTTGTTTTATATCGAAATATCTCGAAACTGCCTGACCGCTAATTCTTAATTCTGATTAGTCAATATGTGACACGAAGTTACTCACAAAAAAAACACTCGGCATTTTCAAATTCTTCAGTATATAATTTCAAATTCTTCAGTGGTAAATTTTTTTTTCACGTCATATATATTTATTTCACAGGTATATATATCATCGGTGAAATTAATAAATTCTGTCCTTTTATGGAGACCGATTATTTTAAAAAATTGAAGATAATTAATTGAAAATGCAAAATTCTTTATAGATTATTTTACTCTACTTCGCTATTCACTTCAATCATTAGTCGAATTCTCTTTGATTCATTATCAATATTTATAAGGTATTCGGAGTGCTCTATAATATTTTATGTCAAGTCGTAGGGAAGTCGAGTTTTGAGCAGGCTGCGCGAAGCGCAGCGTGCGTTAAACTCGACTTATTGCACGGCGGGACATAAAATAATATTTTATGCCCGAAGTACTGACATCTGTGTCTAACCGAACAAAGTGAAGTTAAAATTTGCGGTTTCTCTGTCCTCGGAACATAATATACTATTTTTTATGATATTTATGCGTATTCGTCAGTCGAAATAAAATAAAGCATTCTAGTAACTGCAAATTGCAAGCTTTTCGAAGTAATGTAAAAAATGTAAAAAACCCGTCGAGGTAATTGACGTAAATTACGTCGGTAAAGAACAGTGTAATTTATCAACGTAATTTACACGCCCAACCCTGCAAAAAGGGAGGTTCAAATGCTAACACCAGGCATTTGTACCTCCCCGAGGCCATGTGTAAGAAAAATGAAGAAAGTGGCTAATTTTTCTCATCATTTATAATTTTATGGAGATAAAATAATGATCTTTCTTTTCTTCAGTTGAGCATTCTAAACCAATCGGTTTATTCTGATGGAGAATAATAATGTCAATAGAAAAGTGAAAGACCAATAGATCATTTACATGAGTATCTCATCCATTTACTTTAATGTTTTTCGCGAATAATTCAATTACTCTCATGTTGAGTGTACTAAAGAAGACTTTTGAAGACATGATGATGATATTTGGATTCGGAAATACTCAATCGTCAAAATCTTCAACTAAATTACCTACGTGAAATAATATGAAAAAAAATGTTCACCAAGAAATTTTTTTTTTCAACAATCGTTTTTACAACTAAAATCATGATGAAAATTGTTTGATCTTTTCGAAATTCCCGCCCTATTCCACCATCTCGGGATGTTCATCACAAGATGGCGGCCGTCGTCAAAGGACGAAATGGCGACATCTGGGTATCAGCCCCAACCTCTCCGACATCGAATAACGTCCTCAACCACTAGTTTAAACCATTCGTGCATAATTTTTATTTAATTCTTAGCTCGAGCGGTGATCTGGGTAAAATTGAAAATATGGAGACCGAAGCCAGGTGAAACTTTATCTGAAGATGATGAAGGTTTTTCAAACGAGTCTATGCGTATGTGTTTTGATATTATTTGTCCTCGAATCCGATAAACGAGATAAGTTTAATTGATTTATCTATTTTGGAAAATTTTAGTGTCTGACGAAGAACTCGGCCCAGCTTTCATGGAGAACACCTTTCGAAATGACTAAGAAGGATCGGATATTATGTTTAATTGAAACATTTGTTCATGAAAAATAAATCTCTTCCCTGGAAAAAATGCATTTTCCACTGTTCTCATGGTTCCGTTGAATATCACCAGTTTTGTCACCGCGTCGACGACCTGAAATTCCTGTCACCAGATGCCCTTACGCAATCACCAGATCTGGTGATAAAATCACCGACCTGGCAACACTGTGCTACTACCGAGTTACCGGCACAGGCAGCTCGCCCAGCCGTCAGATTTGACCGTGGCGCCATCCCTCCGTTGGGGTGATACTATTTTTAGCTTGGGATCGCCTGAACCCCGAGATCTGAGCCTCTGCTTTAGTCTATCCTCTTTGGCCCGTAACTCCAAAAACCCTTTGCCCCGGATTTCTCAAATATCTCCGGAACTACTCCATGAACCGGAAAATTCGAGAGTGCCTTGTCAGCCCACGAAAAACCCCCCAAAAAATTTCCCCCGACATTTTCCTCGGAACGCAGTAGCTCCGGAAACATTTTGTCGATAAATCCCGTAGTTTCCGCAGCATTTCGTAGCAACTCCCGTTGAAAATGAATCGATGACTGTGTCCCCCACTCACTTCTCCGCAATTCCTCCTCCACAATAATAAAATCTGACAACAGAAAGCAACATGTCCGCCATATACGGCAGCCATCGGCCATCCAGTCTAGTCCAGCTCCGGTCCTTGGACTGTCGAGTAGGATGATCGCGGTTACTCGAAACTCCCTTATCCCAGGATCAACTCAGGCAACAAATAAATGAAACAGTGAATTACGGGGTAATTGATAATTGACAACAATGCGGGGAATTGAGTGCCCGGGGGAGAGAAAATAAACAAACATTTCTCTCATCGGGAATTCGGCTTTTTGGAAGTTGTGAGGTGATCGCTTGTGAAGTAGTAGCTGCTCTGTCCTGTCAAGTTCTGGAGGCATTTGGGAAACAGGATATGGATGACTCGAGTGTTCGCGTCGCCGTTCGGTGAGTAGTTTTCGTCCTCATGCATTTTTTGAAAATTTGTAAGAATTTTTTTTGGAGATTATTCGATTGCGCTGGAAGTAGTCAGGTGATTGAAGGCTTGGAGTGTTTTGGGGATCGATGCCTTGCTTTTACGTCTCTAGAGAAGAGCAAAATTTATGAAATTCAAAATTCATTTATTCATAATCTATTGTAAATAAAGTAACACGGATACTTAACTTTATTCATTGGAGTGTAACGAACATTTAGAAAAAAAAAAGGTAAAATCGTATGAAAATTACGCCGCAAGCAGCATTTTGAAGGTAAAAACAAGAAAACATGGAGTTTTTCGTGGTTATAGGGGGCAAAATCGATCGGGTCCGCGGTTTTCCGTAGTTATTCCCATATTCCGTCATATATCAAACTATTCAATGGGTCCCAGCCTAGTGGAGACTTAAATTTCACCGACGTACCCCCTTAAGGATGTTTAGCCATTTTCAGCAAATCTTATTTTCTCATGTTCAAGGAAAATTCTATAATTTTTTTGCCTGATAGCAAAACATATGAAACTAACTTCTTTGATCTTAAAAAAAATTTAATCGCAGTAGTCTCGCCAGAAATGAATAAACAAATTTTTCTTTATACACGGGCTCTTACTCGATTTATGTTGAAATTTAGGGGAGATTGGGGTAAAACAGACACTTTTGACTTTTTTTTTAAATGTTAATGAGGGGTTGAAATAGTGACAATAACAATTCTTTCCCTTTGAGACGAGTCTAAACAGAGCTCAATTGATAAATTTGTTTCTGAGTTATGAATAATTAAAAAAAAGTCTAAAGTGTCAATTTTACCCCACCCTCCCCTATAATTTACCTACTAGAAGGCTCGAAATATAGAAATAAAAATATAAGGTAATGTTCAAAACTAAGGATGTTTAGCCATTTTCGGAAAATCTTAACTTTTTCATGTTCAAGGAAAATTCTATAATTTTTTTGGCTGATAGCAGAACATATGAAACTAACTTCTTTAACGTTAAAAAAATTGAATCGCAGTAGTCTCGCCACAAATAAATAAACAAATTTTCCTTTTTTCTTATGGGATTTATGTTGAAATTTATAATTCACCTACTAGAGGACTCGAAAAATAAAAATAAAAACAGAAGGTAATGTGCAAAACTATACTGAATCGAATGGCCAGAGAAAAATTTGGGGTACCCAGGCAAAAAGAGGAAATATTAGAAAGATTGTATCCCATATAAGCGCAGTTTAGCGTATGCGTTTCGTGCATTTTGTCTACTTCATTACCAAGTAATAGACGTGGGTTGGCGGATTGAAATTCAGTAACGAAGCGGTAAACCGGGTCAAGTCAATTTTGACTATTGGCCAGTTTTTGATTAATATATCGGAATCTAAAACAGATAGCAAAATTTTTGGCGGGACCTTTCTTGTAGAGCCAATTGAGAACTACAAAAAAGGTCATGGCAGAAATTTTACTATTTCTCTTAGATTTCGAGATATTCATCAAAAACTGACCGAAAGTCAAAATCGACTTAGCCCGGTTTACTGCTTCGCTACTGAATTTTTATCAAGATAAAGGGAATCACTTCATCTCTCAGTTGAAAAAAATTCAATTTTTTTTCGAATACTTGCGATTTTGGATAAACATCTTTAAGCCGTCATTCCATTAATTCAGAACATTTTTTAGAAGTTATCGTGGGACAACCGATTTTCGAGAAAATTTGAAAATTAAAAAATTAATCGACGAATTAAACTTTAATTGATGGCGATTGATAAGGGTCAGTGATACCTACATTTGAAAAGAAAAGAGATTCAATTCCATCCATTCATTAGTGAACAATTGAAGAAAAACTTTGTTACATATGTACACACATACACTTTTTGCATCATACTGGGTCGATATTATTTATAACACAAAAAATCCAAAACTTCAATTTGAACGATTACGAAACAATAACAAATACTTGTCATTATTATTCACGATTTTTCAAAATCATCTCCATAGTCTCGTTTTAATGCTTAAAAAATTATCTTAAAAATAGTTCAGAGTTTTCTCAATTATCTCCAACAATTCTCGAGCTATTACAAATGAAAAAACCTTTTTCTTCTATCCTTCACTAGTTGTTTTGGCTATTAATTTAGTCTCTTAGAGATGAAAAATCTCATGCTGAGGCCACGAGTCTTTAACGGGAACGTGGGTGGTTAGAATTAGCCTTGTAGGCGAAGCTACAAGGCCAGTACAGATTTTTTACACCTCAATGTTTCCACAATTGATTCACGATTTGTTTCTCCAGTGAATTTCATCCTCTCCCCTATTTTTTTTCGCTTACTGTTCATTAGGAACAAGTACTCCGATACAAATGTTTTCGTTTTCTCTGAGAATGGGAACTTTCATGTGGGGGGAAATCAGTGTCACCTCCTAGATATTCGTAAATGGTATATAAACTACAAATCTGTGACTTTCACCGAACACGATATCGTGGGTAGACCGGTAAATGCGACTGATGCGTGACGAAAATTCCTCGGTTTGCATAAAAATAATGAATTGAGAGGTATTTATGACAGTAATTGGGTTTCATAATTCATGAATTGTTATTTTATGAATTATTTATGCCGGAAGATTCTTTGCGTCCCACTGAACATCCTTGTTATGAAAATCATTTTATTGGTTTAATTTGATTTTCTTTACGCTGAGAGAAGAAGAATCTTCCCACAACGAGAAAATAATTTTTTTTTTTAGAAGTACATCAAAAAACAATTTTTTCGTGAGAAGACCCGGTAAACCGCGATTCCAAGCTCGGTTTGATCGCGGTTTACGGGCCTTCTGACGAAAAATTGCATTCATCACACGGTCCAAAAGTATTTTCTGACGAATGTGATTATAGGCCTCGCCGTCGGCTCGGCCTACAAAGCCACATTTAAGGCCCGGGTGGATTATCTTTCGAACGTAATCTTGGTTGTTTTTCTTATTTTGATAATCTGAAATGATTTCTAATTGCTATTCAGTTTTACATAGCCCTAGAGTCTCCAAAAATTATGATTGTACAATCAAAAAAACGTTGCAAAAGAGCTGAACATTTTCAAAGAGCGTTTTTGAATTATATTGGGAAATAAACCCGATAGGGAGGAAATTGCAAATTAATAATTTGAAGTATCTAATGGCTGTTAGGTCGTCATTTGTCACAGTAGTCAATGGCTGTCAGAACGTTAGTTACCGTGATAAATTATCCATTGACTATTTCCTCTCTATCGGACTTATTTCTTAATCTTTATTAAAGACGCTCATCGAAAATCTTCAGTTATTTTTCTACTTTTTTTTATTGTACAATCATAATTTCTAGGGACTCCTGCGTGATGCAAAATCCAATGGAAATTGTAATATATTTCACATTATGAAGATGGAAAAACAATCGAGATAATGTTCGAAAGATAATAGACCCGGGCCTCAAATGAATCCGATTATGATTTAAAATATTCTTCCTAATGCCATCTTGACCGATTTCGATCATGAGATTGATTGCATCGTCTGTTGTAGCAAAAAATGATTGTTGAATTAATTTTCAGGGAAAGATAACAAACTTTAACGTTTGGGCAACGTTGTCGGCCAATAATGGGGCATTGAATCATTAAATTCAATTTACAATCAATCGTCACATCGTATTTTCTTAAATATTCTTTCTGTAATGTTCACTTATATACATGTAATTTCGCAGAATGAACCGTAAGGTTCGAATGCACATTAATAAAATCAACTGTTACTTGATAAAAGTTTCCAAAATTGTAGTGGAAATTACATGAAAAAACTTTCAACAGCGCTTGTCTGTAGGTGAAGAATCTATGAAAAACATTCGTGGGAAGTGCGATAAGATGACTCGGGTCATCAGCTGATTGGGACTGCCTCCAGTTATATTGAGAAATACCTCATTATTTTTTCACAACTTTTTCATGATAAAATTAAAGTCGAGACGTAGATTATGACCATCCACGTCGGACGTGATCGTTATACCTGTTTTGCGATGAATGGAGTGCCACCCACTTCTCCCTCATTCATTCTTAGTCTTTTGTACTCTCATCTCGCGGAAGATGACTCTTCTCCACGTCGAGGCACTCAAAAGTCTCTTGTCCCTATTTTTCACGATACCTCTACTTGCTGGAGAGGCGACGGAGGAAGTTTCAGGAATTCGAGGAATTATCGATTTTAAGGATGTTTATCCAAAATCGCAAGCACTTTAAAAAAATTGATTTTTTTTTTTAATCTGAAGTTCCTGTGAAATTATCTGATTTGCACTATATTTCGGCACCCATTTCTTATCTGAATTTCCTGTGAAAAATTACGATACCATCACTTAAATTTTCTGAGTCGATTCCGTAATCGGTGAGCGAATCGTGAGTTCCGTAATTTTTACTGAACATTTCTCTCCGTCCGGGAAAACGTTCCGTATATCCACGGTCAAAGTTACTGTGGAGCGTTTGAATAGACACTGCCATGAAGAAAACTTAGTTTATTCATTTCTGCCGAGACTATTGCGAGTAATTTTTTTTAACATTAGAAAAGTTAGTTTTATATGTTCTGCTGTCAGCCGAAAAAATTACAGAATTTTCCTTGACAAAAAAAAACAGATTTACCGTCAATTTACCGACACTGGCTAAACATCCTTAAGATATGAATTATGATAAATGGAATGAAACATACACGCAGCAGAACAGACGCGATGGCAGAGGAAATTAATGCGTGGAAATAAATATTTAATTTTCAATTGCGTAGGGACTAATTCACTGTGTAACCGATAAAAAAATGGAGGATCCATCGTTTTCACATCAATAAACTTTGCCTCAAAATGCAAATTAGTCCTGGCACTCTTCAAGCCATTGGAATTATGAGGAGAGTAGGATATGCAATTTTTGAAAATTACGAGCATTTTTTATAAATTAGTTTTGATTGATTTAGATGAAGCTGAAACTAGCAGAATATTCGTTAACGGAAAATTCAATTTAGGGGATATTTAA